AGTGCCACCCCTAAACATGGTTGCTATTGATTTCAAGTGTTTTTTTTAACACCTTCTTCTTTTCAAATCAGGCTGAATTTATTTCTGCCTTTCTTTCTGTATATATTCTGTGCACCTTTCGCGCGCTCACTTTTATCCACGTTCTGCACTTCTCTCTGAGAATTTTTTTCTTCGTCGTGTTCTTTGTCACTATTTGCTTTTTTCGTTCGCAGTTTATTTTTTTCTCTTATGATATGCCCGTTGACACTATTCGATTTGATTTTGTGATTCAAATTCATCGAATGCTAGTCACGCCAAGTTACCTGACTTCTCTCTCCTTTGTTTCTTTATCAATACCGTTTGTACTCGCGTCTCCCTCTTTCTTCCTTCTGTCTTCTCGCTTATATCCTTCCTTTGTTCTCCTCATTACTTCTTATCAACTTAACGTGGCATCTTATAAATCTATTGTGCTTCCATCTGTATGCTTATATCGCTCATGGCTGTGTTAACCAAACAGCTGTGAATCCTTACGGTAATTCTTGTAAGCACTTCCGAGTGTAACAATAAAGAGAGCGAAATTAAAAAAAAAAAGTTACCTGACTCTTTGCTCGTACGAACGACTAGTTGGGCAATAGTTCAAATGAATAGGGAACCAGAGAAGGGTATAGGTGTGGTTGAAAGTAACATTCATCCCGGCTTATACATTTACCTTTTTCATTCAGCAGGTCCCACGAAAGTTGGGGAAAGTGTAGGAGGTATACACCCCTCCAATAGTTAGAAATTATTCGTTTGTCGTCAACAAAATCGATCAATTTTTTTGAGATTTTTTCTAGAAAATTTTGAAGGAATGTTTAAATTTTTCGCTTCGCGAAAACGTGACTACGCGACCATACTCGGCCTAAAAATATCTGTAATTTTTTTGTTTTTAATGCAATTTTACCTCAGTCTTATTTTTGAAGAGCTTCAGTTTCCGACAGTCGTCGCTAACGTGGCTGCTTTCAGTAACGAAATCTCTAAGAGCTCTCGCAATACTTTTTCCTTTCGAACAACATAAGGAAAAAAACGAGTCTTTCATGAACCTGAAAAATGTTTTCGTTTCGCGAAAGATAACAATTGTGTAATTGCAGTTAACTTAGACAAACTTCCTACTTTAGTCAATTTTTCCTTTGAAACAGCTTGATATAGAACAATTTTCGCCAGAGTGGTCGCTTTCCGACAGTATTGAGAAATTTTCTCACAATGAACTCGAGTTCTCTTCTTAAAAATTTGCCAGAAAAAGTAGAATTTTTAAAGAAGATTGTAAAAAGTTGTCGCTTCCCGAATAATTGTTACATTTTAGGTCAGCAGAGAAAGATCAACATCAGATCTGATGCGAAAAAAATGTTGTGTCCCTCAATCTTGACTACCTTGGAGTCCCTTCACCCCCCCCCCCCCCCCCCCCCCCCCACCCCCCCCCCCGGGCCCGTCCTTCAGCCCTAACTCAAAAGCGATTAATCACTTGAAAACTTTTCTTTCCGGTAAACTGGAATTTCCACAATCCTTTTTTTGTGGATAATATATCGGAAATTGCCGAAATTCAGGTAACGACATTCCACACAACCTTGCTCGTTAGTGAATTTTATCATAAATATGAAGATGTGCTTGTCAGAATAGTAAAACAGCTATGTTCTCAAATATGTTGTAGATGAAATAAATTCCATCCGTTGGCATATTTCAATTACATTTCTGATATTAGTGTAAAACTTGACTTACTCTAAATACTCATTCCAAAGTATTGTATAAGTGTCTAATCTCTCTCTCTCTCTCTCTCTTACATTTAATTATGCTCAAATGGAGATTTTACAAAATTTCTCTGAGACGTCTACAGTCAAGTCTGGTAAACGATGTTTATCGATTTCATATTACTTTGAGTTAATAGGGCAATTGATACTCTGATTTCTGACTGATATTTTTGATTTAAACGACTGAAACATAAGCTCATTGGATTCCTATTCTGATTGGCAAATGGCGAGATATCGACTATACACAAATATACAAAAATTGCATTCGACTGAAGAATGTACGATCGTTCTTGATATTACTCAACGAGATTTTCGATCAAATCCTTCATTAAATCTTTATGTTAAACATTGGTTTATTGATATTGATGATTTTATTGATTTTATTCTTATTTCAACTTATACTAAAATAACTCTCATTATTTCTTCTCTTTTGGCTAATATCGTATGTTATATTATTCATCCTATTTTTCCTCAAATTATTCGAATTATCATTGTTGGTGATTGTTCATGTCGTTGTGAACATGTTGAACACTTTGATGATATGCAATCACTTGTCGATAGTATTTATATCATCATTCAACAACGACGACGCTTGTATATTGCATTCGATTTATGGCCAGTTGAACGATCATCGCATGATTTAAATTTAGATACAGCTAAATTTCTCTGGTACAAATATTATTTCAATATTCTTCCACGTTTAAAAAATACATCTGTAGCACGACGTGAAATGTTAGAATGTATACGAGTATTTCATAAGCAACAAGTTGATACAGTTAAAAAGATATGTGAAGAATTTGAACAAACGTATAAATCTCAAGATATTCTAAAATGGTATACTCGGAATTCTTTTTGTTATCTTCTACTAAATCGAACACTTCGTTCCGAAGATATTAATCATATTTTTTCTATGCGCTATATAATTGATGATTTAGAAAATTGCTTTGTACAAAATTGTTATCAATACATAGATAATCCGATTCATACTGTATATCGTGGTCAACAAATACATCTAAGTGAAATTCGACAGATAGAAATGAATGTTGATGGTCTAATTGGTTTAACCGGTTTTTGGTCGACTTCACGATCACGGGATATTGCATTTCGTTTTACTGAAATCTGGCCAGAAAATCGGCCAGATCCAGTTGAACGTGTTCTTTTTACTATTCGAATTCCTTCTCATATTCAACAAACTGTTTTTATGGATATATCACAATTTAGTACAATTGAATGTGAATTAGAAGTTTTATTTTCATTTCGTTCTTTATTTCGAGTTGAAAACGTTGAAAGAAATTCACATGATAATATTTGGTATGTTGATTTGACTCTTATCGATGAGAATGATAATCAATTTCTATCGATTATACAACCATGGTATTTAAAAACAAAAAATATTATCAGTCAACGATCATTCTTTATATCAGAAATTGAACAACCGAAACAAGATTTCTTTCGTAATTTAACGGATCATAGTGTCCCTTTTCTTGCCTTTCGATTACTTATTGATATGATGTTACGATTAGATCGAACAGAATTTGCTCGTGATGAACTACTTGAAGTTTGTCGAGAAAGATATTTAAATGATTCGATTGAATTAAAACGAATTGATTATTTTGAACAAACATATGATGCAAAAAATGCAATAAAATGGTATACAACAGATTGTTTTATCTATCGAATAATTAATGAATCATTAAGAATTGAAAGTATTGATTTAATATTTAAATTAAGATATTTTATCAATGATCTTCATAATCAACTTGCTCAAATGCAAATTGATTTTCTTCGTCTATTACCATCAAATGTATTTATTTTAACACTCTATCGTGGTTTAACAATGGATTGGAATCAACTCGAAGAATTGAGAAGAAATAAAGGGAATCTTGTTTCAACAAATTCATTCTTATCGACAACAAATGATTATGAAGCAGCGCGTTTCTTTGCCGGTGACGGAAATGTAGATAGAGATTATGTTTCAGTTATATTTGAAATTTCTGTAAATACCAAAGTCAAACATTCTATACCGTTTGCTAAAATTGATTATCAAAGTATTTTTAAAGATGAAGATGAAGTTCTATTTTCAATTGGTGCTGTTTTTCGTGTTGATGAAACAGAAGAAATACGAGAACATTTATGGAAAGTGAACTTAACATTAACACAAATAGAAGATGAACAATGGAATATACTGACAGCTCATTTAAATCCTAAATAAAATTCATTGAATCATTGTTTTACACTTTTTTTCGTAAAGTTAAACTAGTAGACAAAATTTATTGTTGTGAAGAACTTCATGATGAAAGTGTAGGTATGGTTAGATCAACATCCGACCAGGTACCCACACTCACACCCAAGAGTCGACTACCTTCACAATTTCTAGTTGCATTGCCAAGCAATAGTGTGTGTTGTAACTTACACTTTGTTCAGATCAGTGGAATGAACGTGAAACGAACGATTATTCCGAGTCTGATACAGATACTGAAGTGAGTCACTGTTTCAAAAGTTTTACTTTTGATAGTTGTAAGTTTGTTTGTAATGTCACTGTGCTTGAATTTCGACATTGACTTCAAGTTGATAGGTGATGGTATTTTGTCAATATTCGATGGACGATAACAATGAAATATGACTCTGATAGATTGCTTTTTATGTGCCTTCTTCTTAATCAGCCCAATGCCGCTGATATAGCTGTCTTCTCTTTCTTGGCTATGTTTGACAATATCGATCTCAAAGAACGCCAACGTTTCATGTACTAGTCTTGATTATGAAAAAAAGTAATATTGCTAGAAGTATTTTCAATATCGATGTGATCAGATGACAATATATGATGATACAAGTTTAATGTTTTGAGAAAGAATGGTAATGCATCATTAAACATGCCGTATTTATCATAGAGAACACCGATGAACGTAAGACAGTTATGGTTTATTTGATAATCGAGTGGTACTAATTGTTTGAATATAGACAGTGCTTTTAGTTCATAACTTATGAGTGCCTTGGTCGTAGTACATGAGACATACGAATACAATTTTCATTACGAGGAGCCTTTTGAACATAAAGTTTCTTGCAACAAATTCTAAAGTCTTCTCTAAATCACACATGTAGAGATTAAAACATTCAGTGTCATCTAGACACTTGGCAAATTTGGTATGTTGAGCGAGCAGAATATGTCGAAATATCTTGAATGCATGAGACAAATAAACAACAAACAGCATGTTGGATATTTTTCTTCTGCACGTTAAGAGGTTTTTGTAAACGTTGATTACTTTTTATATATGATCATCTGTGTCAATAATATTTGCTATAGTGTTAAGTAAAGCAGTAATATTTCAATGATTGAATGGTAGTCGTTGTCGGTAAATTGCATGTACCATCTCGTAGTTCTTTAATCGTACATTCACTTCATGTCTTATATAGTGCACAATGTCAATTCATTGATACACAGATGTAATATTCGAATGATCAAACTACAATCATTTGTGTAACATCCTAAAATATCCTTCCAAGAGGAGAAGACGACCAAAATAGATTATTAGCGCACAGTCGCTCATGTGTATCCGAACAAATGCAACATGTTAATCAACAATCTCAACGTCTTCATCGGTTTTTTTCCATTGTACTTTCCAAAGATGATCTGTTGGATCAAAATCAACAACAACAATTTTAAAAACAGAGTTGAGATTGAGAATGATTTTTTGTTTATCTTTTACTCGACTTATGTCACTTATATCAGCACAAAGGGCTATTATCAACAATGGATCAGCTTCAATCTCGAAGGCAACAGATCGAACATTATTTGAAAGAATGTCTTGACCAGTAAATGTAAGTGACACAGTAATATTACGTGAATTAGAAAAGAATCTATTGATCAATATTATAGTGCCGATATTGTTTTTCAAACTTGTAAATTTTTCGGATAAAATCTGTTGTTCATGATATAATTTTAAAATGTAATAGGCTATTAATTTCAGATTTTCTCATTCAATTACAAAACACAAAATCAATAATAAAGAATCAGAATGAATCAAGTAATTTGATATTTACAGCGTGAAAAGCTTTGTTCAATAATTTATAAAGAACACATTTATCTGTATACCATTCGATCGCTTTTTCTTGAATATAATTGTTTCCAAATTTTTCCATGGTTTCTTGTTTTGAACGTTTGTTTTGAGGTATTTGTTTGGAATCATACAGAGCCTTCTTTGTTCTCATTTAGTAGGATAAAGATTTTGACGACGCTCAGTCATCTAAAGCATATATGAATTCCATTCTCTTCTCTCTCGATCTGCTTAATGAGATAAATGATTTTAAATAAAAAAGAACACTTGTCTTATATAATTTGAAATTATTTTCATGAATATCTTTTATGAAGCGCCATTTTTAATTAATGTTAAGTTTTATAGCGAGTAAAGTAAACGCTCTTCCTCTCCAGATCGTGAAAAACATGCCAGAAAAATCTCCAGTTGTCACAGTCTGTGATAGCCATACTGATATGGTATTTTGGATTTTATGAACATCAGGCGTTCGAACTTCCAAGAGATTTTCTATTTTGAATCTCTCATAATACCGTATATGAGCTCCTATCGTAGACCGTCGGAGACACTTGAAGATTGTGCGTCTTTGACTTTGCAACAGATTACGATGAATATAACAAGCATCTTCATGCTTATGTGAAGCGACTCCGTCGAGATTAAGTTGAAAACTTTATTTTCTGAGAAAATGATTTGCAGATACACATCCAACCTCACTTATTTTCTCATTCACCTTGTCATTCTCTCCAAGTTCTTGCTGCGTTAATAGAAGTGAAAAGAAAGAAAAGGTAGAATAAATGATATTTTTGTCTTAAAAATAAAAACAAACACCGTTACTTTTTCACAAAATGAATGTGTGTTGTTGTTCGTTTACTGTTCTCAATTGAGTTTCTTTTCACAACATGTGACAGAACGAAAAAAGAAAAAAACATGCAGCACTTTGAATAACAAAAACATTGATTTCATGTATTTCAAGGTTAATGCCTGCTTGTCATTATTACTTGAATAAGAAATATTTTGGGGTAGGAGGAAGAGATGCAAAAATTAAAAATTAAAAAAAGTCAGAAAGCTAATTTTCACACAGATAGTCGACACAAATGTCTCGTTCAACAGACAATTTACCCTTTGACTTTGATTGCCGTATTGGTAGACGATAAATATAATACAACATTTAAGAGTGAAAATATGAATTCATGGAGACTAAACATTATCAATTCAATTTTCATCTTACTTTGCTTTTCTCTCTCTTATGTTTTGACTGTTCTAATTTTTGTCAGATGACTTGGGTGGATGTGGACATTATTTTTGCCTTTCGTTAGAGCTCACCAACATCCACACCCACTTCTGATAATATTCGTTGTGCTGAACTTAAAAACAACGTTGTAGTCACTCGAAAACATTATTTGGCAAATAATGCCTCTTCAATACATACATGACACGGCTATATAAATCCCTAAATAGAGCTAAAAACCGGCATCTAAAGCATGGAGTTGGAAAAATTTCCATTTACTTTTCAGAAATCTTACGGGTTTACTGTCTTTTCTTCTATTTCACAAATTTTACTAAACTGACATGCCAGTGAAGGAAACATTAGAGGAGAGAATTTTCTCATCAGTAATGCAACCAAGAAAATATCCAAATACATGAAAAGATAAGGACTGAATAACTTCTTTCGTCGAAAACTTTAACTTAAAGTTTAACACAAATGAAATCAAGAAGTCAGCAACTGAAAATATCGACAAATGAGGTTGTACGAGCATTTGAAGCATTGATCTGTATTGAACTTTTATCGTAATAAAGCGAAAGTAAAAATGTTATCTAAGTTGATCTTTTTTTGATTCTCCAAATGTTGCTCTTTCAAATAAAAAAAAAGGTTCAAATCGATTCGATATTCGGCTGTTGAGCAAGGACTTTCAATACTTTTTCATAGACTTTTCTATGGCTTATTATATGTAAATATATTTATTAATCATAGAAAGGTATCACATAAAAATATTTTAATGCATATGAAATGGGAACAAAACGATTTCCATGAACATCCATTCTTAATAAAGTTCTTGTTCCTGATTTCTACAGGAGACGACAGGGGATAAAGACGGGAAAAAGATCATTCTTTAGGACACTACTAGAATCTCCACCTATTTCGTATTGTAAAGTCGTGATAGTACATTAATTAGGATAGGATTGACACAGAATGGCTCTATGGCCAGTTGGATTGATAAAGAGGTCTATTGCTAGCAGGAGATGTTGTTCTCTGGCTTGGGCTATAATAATAATGCTGGAATCTTGTAGCACCGTTATATTCAGGTATTATGGTGCTGCTATAAGGAAATCCTGTCGAACCACTATTGCCGTGTCCTGTCGTACGATCATAGCCAGATGGCGTCACACGACCATAGATAAATCGTGTCGCATCATCGTACCTAGATGACGTTCCACTACCAAAGCCAGAGCCCCGTACATCACTGGTGCTAGATCCTGTTCCGCCACTACACTGTAAAAAAAAATCGTAGAATAATAAACCCAAAAAGGGTTGATGAACGTGCAACGTATAATAAACCCTTTTTACCGTATGTAAAATTTTCCTAAACCCTTTTTAAGGGCTTAATAAAGGGTTTAGAAAATTCATAAACCCTTTCATATACCCTTTCAAAGGGTTTAGGAAAGGGTTTAGGAAGTTCCTAAACCCTTTAAGGGTTTATTATACGTTGCACTTTCAACAACTCTTTTAAGGATTTAGGAAAATCATAAACCCTTTGATATACCCTTACTAAGGGTATATGAAGGGGTTTAGGAAATCAATAAACCCTTACATAAATCCTCAAAAACGGTTTATGATGATGACTAAGTACAGATGGGATTGAGCAAAGGGTTTAGGAAACGCTCATAAACCCATGTAGGGGTTTAGCCAAGGGTTTAGGACACACTCATAAACCCATATAAGGGTTTAGGAAACAGACATAAACAGGCCCGTAGCCAGGAATTTCCCAAGGGGAGTGCCGGACTTGTTAAGGGGGTGTCCACCAGCGGGAAAATAATTTTTCGCTTCACAAAAACGTTTTTCGCCTGTACCCCCCCTCCAGGTATTTTTTGGCCAAGGAGGTGCCCGAGCACCCTCCTGGCTACGGGCCTGAACATAAACCGACCGAAACGTTTCGTAAAAGGTTTAGAAAATGCTCATATACCC